CCCCAACCCCGGTGAAACGGATCTCTTCTCATATGTGGCGACATCTCTGTGCTCTCTCGTCCTCATAAACGTCTGATTGATTATTCAACCCTAACTAAAGTGTCAGGACCACGTTCGCTGTTCGCTAGTTTCGAAGGAATTGATATCTCGTGTATTTTTCACATCTACCTCCTGGACCCTAGATTGCGTAACCTAATTTTGCCTGCGGCAGAGGCTGAAGCTTGCACATAGTTGAGTGGCAGGCCTTTCGAGTGCACGTGTCTCATGATTACCTAGCCGCGCATGCCTCTCATCGGGCGTAATTCCACCGCCAAATCACTGCCCCGTAAGATGGACTTTCTTCTCCTCCCTCGCCCCGTTAGACCTCTGTTGTTTACGCCCTTCACCTCGCCCTAATGGTTCACACTTTCCTGTGTGACCTTGAAAATCGCAGCGTCTTCGTGGTTTGCGGTGTGCGCGCTCCTGCGTGTGTGTGTGAATATTGTCTGCATCACTTACAATCGGCAGACATGAAGGTCATGCAACAAGGGGGTGCAGAGTTTGAAGACAGACAGTGCCTCTCAGGGTGTTTTGACGTTATCTCTGCTTAGGAGCAGGCAAATGTGCCAACATGGTCTGACGTAAATCTATGCACACGAAGGCTTTTCTTTAGAGCTTTTTTCACACATTGACGGCCCGCTCTCTCTCTCTGTCTCTCTCGAACTTCCTCCTTCTTTTTGAAGGGAATAAGGCAGTGCCGATCGAAATATGCTTGTTAGGTGTCTGGGGTTTAAAAGAAGTTGGCTGACGATGTGGTCGATGCCTCATTGAGGGAAGATTGCCAGGAACGTGACTGTTGAACACCAGTCCAGTTATCTGCTATTTTGAATTGCCTTAGCCTGCGCAGCTTTGCGGCACTACCTGTCACAGGACATGCCATCTGACTGCCTATTATCGCTGCTGACAGGGATGATCCACTGTAAACCAGTGGCCAATCCGCAAACATCTCTGAGTTAGCAGTTAAAGCACCAGGCTAAAAAAGTGTTTGCGCACGTGTGGTATATGTAAAACGACCTGTGTGCTATACTCCCCAGTAGAAGCTGGTGATTTACGGCCGCCTACGTTACTGTTTCAATCGTCTGCCCCAAAGAAAGCCATTACTGGGAGATAGCATTCTAATTACTCACAATTCTCAATTCATACTTTTGAGACGCGGACTCGGAATCTGGTAGTTGGGCGCTCATTATCGACGGCGATTAGCGTCACTACTGAGATTGCTACTCGGGTTCTTTAGATTTCATGCAAATGTGTGTGTCTTTGAATGGACCTCTGTGCTTCTGGAAACTACGTAGGTTGGGAGGAGAGGAACGGAAGGACTTAATAATTGTGCGACCGGACTTGCGATAGCGCTCTTGCATCTGTTCAAGATGAATGCACAGATATCTGATCAGCCCAAACAAGGCTTACTACAGCACTGTTGAGGGTTTTTCTTAGTTTCACGACAGTATTAAGGTTGTAGAGTCGTCGGACAGGGTGGGGTGGGTCGAAGCTTGATTGGAAAGTATAGTCACAATCAAAGCACGTGGGGACAGCATCTTCTGCGATATTGGAAGCGCTGGATTAGCTTGGAATGAGTCCATTGCGGTAAGTAGACAGAACTGGTCACCAGAGGTGCAGTTTTGCTTGGTTATCGCGTCGCCTTGGCGTTTTGCTTGCGATGGATTTCAACACTTGGTGCTTCAGATCTCGCGGTAGTTCGATGACACTGCACAAGGCTTTTAGAATTGTCGGGGTTATTCTAAGGCTTTTGATAATGAACATCGAAAGTGACGTTATCATAGAATACTAGCTCTAGCAGGTACTCGCTATATGGTCGCCCCATTGAAGTTGAATCTCCGTGAGAATTGAAAGTGTGATGAGCATGCCAGTTACTTCTAAGACGCGCCTTTCCGAAATTTGTTCTTGCCACCACCTGAGTACTCCCCGGAGGCAGCTTGGCCAAAAATAGTTCAGCTTCTTCACTGGGTTTTGGTGGATAAGCTGCTTCTCCCTGCAAAGGCAGGCTGCAGCTGATGAGCAGTCACGAAATTTGTTTGATCAAATAAATTCTGCCGCATATGCTTGTTACAAATTTCTTCCTGGGAAATTTTTTTTTCAAAGTTCACTGGTTGTCTGCTGGTAACCGAGAACCCACTTCCTGGGAACGAGACTCAGCGGCGGACACAGGCACACTACGCACGTGCTGACAACTCGTTAACTGAGCGGAAGCTCGTCAACCAAAACAAATTTTCCTCTAGTGGCTAGCTTGTTATCTAAAATGCTTGTAGATGGATCTGTTCGTCGCTCGAGGCTCCACTGTAGTTGTTACGATGTTTCTGGACCCCCGTATTTAATTTCCGTCAGGAATATTTGTGCTATTGAGTAAAACACACGCAAATATTTTGCCGGCATCGTTCAGAAAAACAGAGGCCCCATGGTGTTTTTCGTAGATGCGTCCCTTTCCTTTTCGTTTGCAGCGATGGTCAGTGGTTACATCCTTGCAGTCTGGTGATAGTGGTCCTTGTATCTAAATCCTCCGAACAATTAAGACTATTTTGTTCGAAGGCTGACGATCGGTGTATTTGTGGACATCTGCTAGGATTAAGTAAACGCCCGGGTATTTTCTATGAAACATTTGCTGCATCGTTCTAACCACCTTCTTCGGTACCGGACAATGATCACTGTCAACATTAATCTCCACTTAGGGGCATCCGTTAGCGGCCTCACCGACCACTGATGGACCATTG